TATTAAAAATAATATAAAAAAATTATCTCTATAAAAATAATATTTTTATAAAAAAATTACTCGAAAGGTCAGTCCAAGAGAACACTGGAAAATCTCTAAAAATACAAAATAATTTATAAAGGAAAAGTCCTTGTGATAAGTATCCATCTATAGTCTATACCTTATTAAAAACCATTTTATTTTTAATTAAGTCGTGAGATTCGAAATCCATCCTCACCCTCGTGTTAAAAAAAAAAAAGAAAAGAAATTATAGAGAATTCATTTGTTTGTATATATTCATCCGACCGTGCAAATATACTATAACTTAAAAAATCTCAAAAAAATAAAGAAAAAAGGAACGTCATATGTTCTCCGGTTCTCTCAGTTACAGCAGAACTACAATCCCATTTTTCGAAGTCTAGACAGACACTAGAGAGAAAGGAGAAATCTTGGGAATCTCGGAGGAGAGCGGCGGCGACAGAAGGAAGGGGTTGGTTGGGGATTATGAAGCTGTCGGCGAAACCCATTTCGAGTCCGGGTCGGGTGGAGAAGTTTCCACCGCCATTGATGCGGTTCCTGAGGAGCAATGTCGGGAGCAAGAGCAGGGGGAGGTCGCGTTCAAGTCCCTTGTTTTTTCGGAAGAAGAACACTGCCATTGAGACGCAAGAGCCGTCGTCTCCGAAGGTAACATGCATGGGGCAGGTCCGGGTCAGGCGGTCGAAAAAATCCCACAAAACGCCCGCTCGCCCCCACCGAAACGGTGCGCCGATGCGGCGGCGGTTCAAAAGGATCCGAAATGCGCTGTGTTGCCGTCACATCGGTTGGAAACTGAAGGCGAAGGCGTTCAGACCCTCATGGCGGAAGTGGGTATTTTCATTTCATTGGTGTTCTCTCCGAAAACCCAAGATTAGGGAAGATTCATCAAGAATTGAATCAAATTTAGGAAGCAAGATTGAAGCTTCAGTCCGAAAAACTGAAGAAGAAACCGACGAGGACTATGAGGAAGAATCCAAGGTTTTTGCATCTTCTCCTTCTTCACCACCCAAAAACGCTTTGTTGTTGACTCGATGTAGGTCCGCGCCGTACAGATCTTCTTCTTTAGCAGTAAGATTTTGGGGTTCCCCATTATCCACTGAAGAAACAGAACCCGAACCAGAACCAGAAGAAACAACAAGAACAGAGCCAGAAAACAGAGAATCAGACAACCCCACGTTGGAAAGAGAGTCCATTAGCAGGGATTCAGATCAAGAATCAGAAACAGATCCAGAAACTGAAGAAAAGCAGGGTTTCCTTAATCAATTCGAAGAAAAAATTGCAAACTCTGCAAACAGTGAGGAACCAAAGGCAGAGCAATTATCAACCATCCGGCCTCTGATTCTGACGAGGTGTAAAACAGTACCCGCGAGAACGGCAGCAAAACTGGATCCAGACTTGACTTTCTGGAAGAAAAGAAGTATAGGTTTCATGTGATTGATTCGAGTTCATCCCTTTTCCCCTCAGGTTCTCCCAACCAGGTCTAGTTTTTGGAAGCTTTTTTTTTTTTTTTTGTGAATTTCTTAATTATATTTTGACATTTGGAGCTGTATGAGAGAATCTCAATGGCTTCATGGCAATATATAAAGCTACACTGAAAGATGAAACAACAAAAAAATTTTGTTTATTTGTGTTGATCATCTTCTCTCTGCTGCAATATCTCTCATGTGCAGTTGTATTTACTTTGAAATCACAATTTAGTGGAAGCAGTTTTGTTGTTTTCTAGCTTTTCCTTGGTGGGAGTGTGGAAATGCTGACCAACCTGTTTATCAAAATTTTATTTTATTTTATTTTATTTTATCGATAATTATGATATTTTTTTATTTTTTATATATTTTTTAATATATAAATACGAGAATTAACTATTTAGTATTTTATATAAAATTGAATTTTTGATATTAATATCAAATTAAACTCTTTAAATTAATGATACTAATTTGATCAAATTT